TACCCAACTGTTTTCCAAAGGAGTTTTACTCTTTCCACTCACTATGAACAACATATGTGAGTTTCACTGTTCTACCTTCTCATCAATACATGATTTTTAATCCTATCTGACAATTTCTTCATTTTAATTAGTGTTTAGACCATTTACATTCAGTGTAATTATCAATATAGTTAAGTTTAAGAAATCCATCTTGTTTGTATGTTTTCATAGTCCTATTTCCTTTTCCTCTTTTACTGCCACCTTATGGATATAATGAGTATTTTAAAAATTTTGTCTATTAGCTTTTCAAGTATACCTCCTTGTTGCTTTTTTTAGAGATTATTCTGGGAAATAGACATTTTTATTGCAATCTACAATTAATATATACCACTTCACATATGAAGTGCAGCTAATAATATACCACTTCACATATGAAGAGAGAACTTTGTGACTCTAATTTTTCCATTTTCTCTTCCTGTATGTACATTTTATATCTACAGCACTTTATTGTTTGCTTTAAGCATTTGGTTCTTCTAAAGAAATTAAAAGCAAGTGGAAAATGCCATACATTTATCCAGATATTTATCATTTTTCTGTGTCTTTATTCCTTTGTGTAGATACAAATGTCCACTTAGTGAAATACTTTTTCATCCTGAATACTTTCAAGTCTCTTTAATTTTTTAAACTTTTGATTACAACCTAATGATATTATAAATTCTTAATATATCTTGCATAACTCAAAGGTTCATCTTTCATTTTATGGTTTATCAGTGGAATTTATGAATTTTTTTAAGCTCTTTAAAAAACTTTACCTGTTTCTGCTATTAATTATTGGGTAGACCATTTTAGGGATTCAGCTACACTTGCATTTTAATTTAATATCTACCTTGACAAACTGTAACTTGAGATGCCAGTTTACCTCAGGTAACCTTAAGTTCTTTAAATGTAAAGTGAGCAAGAGTATAAAGTTTAAATGAAAAAAAGAGAATTAACATACTTAGCACAAAACTTTACATACTGGCTGCTCAGTAAACAGATTTTTTTCCCTCTTTTATTTTCTCCTATACCTCAATGATGTAATTTTTGAAAGAAGAACTACATACATATACTATCTTCACTTAGTCATTTTAGATGATTACAGTGTGTTTGTTCATTATGATGACTGACCCCTGACCAACGTCAGCAAGGAATTCTTCTTGGCTAGCTGCCAGTAAACTTTGGACTGTCTCTTTACCTGGCCTGAGTGTGTCACAAGATACCCACATCCCTGTCATTTAAATGTTCATTGTCCTTTATCTGTGGATTCTTTTCCAACTTTTGGAATTCGTCTTCTTTTAAAATTTCCCCTTTCCATATATTTTGTCCAGTAGCTGTTGATCCTCCGTACTCTTCTCCTTAAGTCAGCTTTACCGTTAAACTTGTTACAGCCACCTAGCACCTGTAAATCAAAGTACTAGCGTAGCTGTTTTTTCACCTCCACTTTTTTTCTAAATATCTTAATTAAAAAAATACTTTATTGCTAAAAAAAAAAAAAAAAAAAGCAAACCATCATCATTGAGCTTTCAGTTCTTTTTGCTGGTGGAGGGTCTTTGCTTGATATTGATTGCCACTGATTAATCAGTGTAGTTTGCATAGATTGGGTGGCTGTGGCAACTTAGCAAAATAAGACAATAATAAGATCATCCACACTGATTGACTCTTCTTTTCATGAAAGATTTCATGACATGCTGTTAGCATTTTGTGCATAATAGAGCTTCTTTAAAAATTCAAAGTCAGTCCTCTCAAATCCTGCCTCAACTACGTTTATATAATATTCTAAATCCTCCATTGTCATTTCAGTAATGTTCAACAGCATCTTCATCAGAAGTAGATTACATTTCAAGAAACAGCTTTCTTTGTTCATCCATTAGTATAAGCTCCTCAGAGTTTTATAATGAGATTGCAACATTCAGTTACATCTTCGGCACTACATCTAATATCCTAGCTTTTTTATTACTACCACCACATCTACCATTACTTCTCCATTAAAGTCTTTGAAACCCTGAAAATCATCACAGAATCTGTGTAGGGTGGTATAAGAGAGAGGGTCTTTTCTTTTTTTAAGTATAAAAAGAAAAAAAACAAGTGCAATATATTTGAAAATTTTTCATTATAAAATTTTGGTGGTTAACATGTTTAGCTCTAAGTTGCCTGTGAGACAGAATTTAGGAGAACAGTGTAGGGAGTAAATGTAAATAAATAAGACATATAGTAAATCTTGTTACTATAAGTATTGTAATATTTAAATAATTTCTGAAAGTTTTATTATTGGTATTGTTTCATATAATAATTGCCACACATTAAAAGCATATAACTTGACAGTTTTGACATATCTATATACCCACAAAACTATCACCATGAAATCAAGATAATGAACAACATTTATAACCCCCAGTAGTTTCCTGGCACCTCTTTGTAGTACTTTCTTCCCTCCACAGACCTCATTACCATGATCTTATTTCTCTTGCTATGGGACGAAAATTTTCTAAAATCCCATGTAAGTGAAAATATACTATAGTTTGCTCTTTTGGGTCTTTTAATCAGTCTAATTATTTGTAGATTTCCATGTTCTTTTTATTAGTAAGTAGCATCCTACTGTCTGCATTCACTACCTTTTTTTACTTACTCACCTACTAATACACACTTGAGTTGTTTCTACTTTTTGACATTCGAAAAAAGATGTTATGTACATTTGGTTACAAGTCCTTATGTGACTACAAGCCTTCATTTCTCTTGGCTAAATATTTAGAAGTGGGAATGATGAGTGTATGGGTAATATATGGTTAACTTTTTGCAGACTGCCACAGTATTTTCTGAGATACCTTACCATTTTATATTTCTGTTGTCAGTGAATGAACATTTCAGTTACTCTGTATCCTTATTATGACTTGGTATATATATAATCTTTTGAATTTTAACCTTCTTGGTTTCTAAGTTATACCTTACAGTTTTAATTAACAGTTTTCTAATAAAAATGATGTTGAGCATCTTTTTATGTGCTCATTTGCTCTCTTTGGTGGAGTGTTTGGTCATATTTCTTGCCTATTTTTATTGTGATTGTCTTCTCACTTTTTAATTATAAGAGTTCTTTGTATTCCCTAGGTAAAGTTCCTTTGCAAAATACATATTTTGCAAATGTTTTTATCTATAGCTTGCCTTTGTTTCTTGAGTATATCTTCTGAAGTTTTTAAAAAACAAGTTAAAAATTTGATTGAATTCTGAAAAATTTAATGAAGTCTAAAAAATTAGAATGAACCAAAAAATTCTGAAATTCTTATTTTATCTTGATCATGCACTAGCTGTGACACAAATCTTAAGGGCTTATTTCACTTCTCTGAGCAACTGTTCTTAAATTGTCAATGGCTTAATATTTTATTTTAAAAATTTTGTTTTATACCAGACCCTAGAATCATAAAGACAATAGTATGCATTGTCTCTCTTCAGAATGCTCATTTTTAGGGCCTCCCTGGTGGCGCAGTGGTGAGCGCTGGGTTGCGAAGCTGCCCGCAGCCTCTGCAGAGCCAGTTCGATCCCCGGCAGCTCCCCGGCTACCGGAGGAGGGTCCTGCATGGCACGCAGACCTCTCCTGCTGCCCACTGTTCCCCTCTGCAGTGTACTTCGGTCCTTCTCCCTGCTCTGGCTCTAGTGAATTCTCTCACCCTCCCGCGCTTCTGACTGTACCCAGTGCTTGTATAAATAAATAAATAAATCTTAAAAAAAAAAAAAAAAAGAATGCTCATTTTTATTTTTTAATATATCTTCCTGGTATCTGTCTTGTGCAGCCAGGTCCATATACTTTCCCTCTCCTGGTGTCTACTACAGCTCTGGAGAATGACGTGCTCTGTGTATTTCCATCTTGTATTGTTGTTACACTTCTTTTCCACACCAGATATATAAATTTGTTATAGCAGGAACTCTACATATATCATAGTTCGTTGCACACAGGGTACACTGATTAAATTACTGATGATACTGTTTTAGTAAGATTCTCTTGACTAACTTATTGATAAAAATAAATCTTTGGCTGTACTACACTAAATGAATAAAATATATTCATATTTCAAGTGTCATTGCAATAGATTACTTTTCTATATGGAATGAAAATGCTGGTTTTTACTTAAATATTTTTAGGTGATTTTTTTTTTTTTTAAACACAATCCAGATTTAACTCTACTAAGATGAAAGGCAATATAGGGTAGTACAGCATGGACTTAGTAGTCAGTTAAATTAAAAATCTTTAACAAAGGCGGTTCTGTTTAACAAGCTATATGTTTTATAACTTTCGAGTTCCTTTTTCTAATGAAACCAGTATGTTAAAACATACAAGACTTTTTAAGTATATAGAAAATTTTAGCAAAAATTTGCTTAATTTTTCTAGGTCCTGGGCACACCAACAAGGGAGCAAATTCGAGAAATGAACCCAAACTACACAGAATTCAAATTCCCTCAAATAAAGGCACATCCTTGGACTAAGGTGAGTCAAAATGAGTTTTAAAAATGAACATTAAACAATAGCTAACTAAAACTGGGGTCCTCATTGTTCTTGACTAAGCTATTTTGAGACTAATCACTGCCTGTGTACAAAGTACACATCAGTTCTGCATGTAAAAATAGTTGGGTAGATGTACGTAAGCATTTCCGTGATTGTACATGGTTTCATCCCTATTGATTTCCTGTAGACAGTTTCCAGCCTGGGTTTTTATTTGTAAGGGAGGAGGGTGTACTTAGATCAATAAAATACAGAACTTCATTAGGAGGAGGATCTTACATGTAAATTTGACTACTTAAAATTCAGAAGTTAATTTCCTTACATAGTGTTTTTAATTGGCTCAACATCATATTAGCATGTAAAAACATACATTTTATGTATTTTCTTTATTCTTAAATTATTAGTACATAGATTTTGCTATAGATAACAGTGTGTTTTACTCCTCTAGGTTACTTTCCTTTTGGTGTTTTGGGAGCAGGAATAAAAGCAGATATGATCTTAACCTTAGGGTATACATTGGAAACAATTGATGGGTTTAACACATCACCAGCCTATCAGAATCCTAACCTCAACATTAGATGGAACCAGTTCCAAGACCAAAAGTACTAATTTACCAGAAGACTTTTATTTCCTTTGATACTTTAATTGAAATGATTTTAAAAGATATTTTTTCGCATTTCAGTTTAATTTGTGTAAACATGCATAGGGAAAAAACAATATCTTAATAGGGTTTATGGCTATAGTGAATCGCTAGCTTCCTAATTTTATGAGGACTTCTGACCAAAGATACCAAGTGATTTATCCAAGAATTCATAGGTGATTTGTGACAAAGCCAAGATTAAACTTGTGTGTGTGTGTGTGTGAACTGTTAAATCTTTCAAATGTCTACTTATGTGCCATGCACTCCTCTCCCCCTTTTATTTATATTTCATTATATTTTTGTGGGTTTTAAATGTTTGAGTTTATGATACTCATTTCAAGGTGATACTTTAATTAAAAATGTATGTGTAACAGGTTGTTTTGAACAACGATAAGTTCATTTACTTGATTATAGATGTTTTATAATATGAGGTGAAGTAATTTAGGACTGTAGATGAACTAATTTACATTTACCAGATTCAATGCATGTCTCTTTCTCACTCTAATTATATTATGATTCCAGTTACTTTTTTTCAAGTTCTCACCATCTTGTTACCTCTCTTCATTTTGGAAAATCTTCTTGTTACTAATTATTTATTATTTAGAGTCAAAGACCTCAGTAGTATAGTCATGCCAGAATATATATGGTATCTTTCACTGATCAAGAAATGAAGATGTTATTCTCTGCTTTTAAATTTTGTAATGAATTTTGACTAGTTTAAGATAAACCACTGTTTGATCTTTGTACTTTAGATTCTTTTTGGATTTGGATTAGAAGATACCTAGGGTCTCTCTTAACTCAGATTTCTAAGTGACTTACTTGGATTTGAATACTGATTTGCAAACTTGAATCATTAAAGTTATTCCAAGTTAAAGTATTTGTAATAGGTGGTTTCTAGTGTACTGTGATTTCAACCATGTTAAGTAAACAACTGAAATCAACAAGAGAATTCTATGTAGTAAATAAATACAGGGAAATGTTTCAAAGTGCTCACAAGTAGTTTGGATGAGATGCGTGTAGGTGATACTATTTTCTTGGTTCTGTGTTTCCATTTTTCTTAAATATGCACCTTTTTATGAAGAAAAAAGTAAAGCTCTTTCAGTGTAATATAAAATAAATATACATCACACATTACCCTTAATAGACTTTCTAACCAATATAATGATGAAATTAGGGTCATAAGTCCCAGTACTTATGATTTATATCAAGATTGCCATCAATATTAGTATATGTCATAATTTGCTACTACTCTTCCCACCTTCCCCCTTCCCCACATTGTCTCTCTTCAGTTTAAGTGTTAGCCAGGATGGAATGTAAAAAATGATTGATTATAATTAAAATAGAAGCCAGCAGAAGATTTATGGTAAATTTGTATGCTTTATGCCTTCTTTTGCATTTATGGATTCTTGATGTTTCTGTGTCTTGCCTAATGCTTTTCAAATTTGAATGATCTGTATAAAACCCTTTGACTTGCTTATTAGGTTTCCATTCTAGTACCACATGTGGAATAATGACTCAATTTTCCCACCTGTTTTGTCTGTTAAACCTACATAATTTTTCATGTAGGTTGTCTTGACATAATTTGATTTTCACTTGGAATAAATGCATTTACCATGTAATAAGTACACTTATGTTAATTTCTCATTAGAACACAAAACTAGAGTGGTATTACTGTGGTCGTAAACATAAAACCAAATTCAGGCAAAGAAACTCCATGGAACTACTTCATCCAGCTAGATGATTCAGAATATGCTTATTGATTTTTAAAAGACAGGTTATTATTAAATGCACATGCAAATTTTAAAGTTCTGGAGGGAACCTAGACACCTGAATCTTCATTATGATTGAGGCAACAGCTTGAGAATTATACTCTTATGCTAGGTAGCCAGTAAAGTTTTTTAAAACATAAACAATATTACTTTCTAAAGAGATGGGCTTATTTCCTTTGAATGGCCAGGCAAACAAGAATCTGGAAACAAAAGCTGATTTGCCTTAATTGCAGTCGTGTGTTAGATCCCACTTAAATATTCAGTAGAACTCCAGACATGTGAGTTCCCTCGTTTTCACTGCTGCAGTGTAGTCAGCTATATCTTCAGGATTGGACACTGGTGTTCTCAGAAAAGGAGGCAGTCAAAGATCATGAGACAAATGTCTTCTGTGGAAACACTGAGGTGAGAGGATACAGATGTGTAAGAAAGATAGCAAAACAAAACAATGAGATGATCCTAATGTGGTGCATGGCAGGAATCTTGAGAATTTAGAAATCCAATTGTTATAGGACAGGGAGAGGGTCAGCCCAAACCCCGCAAACCTGCCTATTCTAAATGGGTTCTGCCATCCGCCGCATCAACACAAAACATAGGAGACTTTAATGGGAAGGAACTTTAATAAAACTAGGAAACAATACAGGTAAGGCAAAGAGTCTAGTTTCTAAATGAAGCACCCAAAGTTACCCATCCCCTCGTGGGTAAAAGTCCATCCATATGGGATCGGCCCAGAACAAGGCCCCAAAGCCTGCCACAAGTCTAAAGCATCTTCCAGTGGGGACCCACAGAAAACGGTCACAAACAACTGGACAAGCCCGGAAGGAAAAGAGCAAAATCAACATCAAGATAAAAGCTGCCATTGTCACCTCCCCACGGGTCTCACCCACATCTGTGTCACCTAGTCCACAACCAAAAGACAAGCGCAGTTTCTTCACGTGTCTCTAGGCTCCATGTGCCTCCTCCAGGTCTCCTGGCTCCATCCTGCTTCCTTCCTTAGTCTCTTCTCCAGCTTCTCCTCTTCCTGCTCAGCTCCACCCTCCCTTGGGAGGGGCAGGGAACCTCCCCCTTTCCTGGGGACCACCCTGTTACACAATGAGTGGCCCTTGCCTATTACTTAATAGCCAGAGCAACATAATTCATAGATAATGTAGGAAAGGACTTAGGTGCTATGTTTTGAAACACAGACCATTACTGGGAGTGGGTTTGGGAAGAATAAAGATCACTGCATTGGTGTATGCATGTACACTTCAAGGAATAAAAGCCAGATGGAAAACAAAAAGGAGGTCATGCAAAAAGTAGAGCAGGTATTAGTTAGAGAATTAGAGAAGAGATTGGTTGGAAGAAAAGAGGAAGCTTAAATTTTGCATTTAGCACATGGAGAGGCTATTTAAATGACAGTGTAAGGTTCCAGTTTAAGCATTGTTCTTACTCTTTCTGCCTCGAGGTTTTTCTTTTGTAAGATAACAATTTGACTATAGTGTCTTTTCTCTGGGTTCTTTTGAAAAGGCAGCCAAAGTATGCATCTAAAGGATTATTTCCTTTTAATTCTAAATAAATGAAAAGATTCTACCTCTAGTATAGTTCTGTGATTGTCCTCCTTATCCCCACTGCCCTGACTTAGATCATCATCATATCACAGAATTGTTAAAACAGTCTCCTACCTTCTGATTTCCTGTGTTCAGTTTCATGTATTGCTATCAATGTTAGTTTTCTTAAAAGCACACATGATACTGTCACTCATATTTAAAATTCTTCTCTGATTCCTCATTGCCATTAGGAAATTCACCATTTATGTTAAATGTATATCATTGTATACATATGAAAGTGATCATAGTAATACAGTTATTAATTGCATCCCTTCATTTAAAAAAAGTTCTCATTTGGATGACAGATTATACAGTCAGTCTGTTACTAATCTTTTCTATCTTTCCTTTACCAAAAAACCCAAAAGATTTAATTCTTACTCTGCTCCTAACATTCCCTGAGGCATCTAGTCCGTAGAACATGCTCTTTCCCATTTTCTCCAGCTCCTCTGCCGTTAGGGTGCATGCAGTCAATGAATGTAAAAGACTTTTAGAATTTGTATGTAGGTAGTTAGGTATAGTTAGAATAGGTTAAGGATTTCTAATAAGCTTATATTGTGTTTTCTATGTACCCTTCCTGCCCTCCCCACCCCATTTGTCCTGTTTCTGCTAATAGGACAAGTATTTCCCCTTTATCCCAGTAAGAATTGTGTGGGGTCAATTAAATAACACAGATATTTCTATATATTCTTTTAAAATAATGAAATTTATAAATGACATGGGTGGTTAGTGAAACAAAGTTGATTAAGAATCCCAAGGGCCTGATCTCTTTCAGTTACATTAGGGCTCTTTAATATGTTAGCTACATATGTGCATATTTTCCTACATCTAGCTCACTTTAAAGAAAAGAAACCATGCTGAACTTCTTGTTCTAATGAAACTGTCCTCCTGATTGTTTCCCAGAGAAACCATACTCATTTCTACCTCTGGCTACTATCTTTTTTTTTTTTTACACTTAGAATGCTCTTCATCTCTGTTTACCAAGTATTAATCTATTCTTAAGACCTCCCTTCTCCCATGAAATATAATTATTTCTCCATGATTATTTCACCACATAACTCCTGAAGGACCTACCAAGTCATAACATATGTATTATAGCAGTTCCTTATTTCTCTTTCGTAATGGTTAAATGACAGTCTATTCTGTATGAAGTAGATATCAATTAACTCAAAATGTTTATTGCTAAGTTTTTGGCATACAGACTAGTTTACTAATAGTTAAGTGTCTATAGGGTATGTGAGACCACAAGATCACTGGTTAGGTATCCCAGAAAGCATTGTCCACAAAAATCAGTCCTTCTGTACTTGATTTCTTAGAATACTGTCTAAATATTTAAAAATGAATGACACTGAAATTTCCAACTAGCTAACAAGGTAAGCAGAAATTTGAGTATGAGATCGTTTCAGCTATCAAAGGAATCAGACTAGACTGAATACGTTACATTTATTATCCTCTGTGCTTGAAACTAAAGGAAATCTTGCTGTACTATTTTTTTTTAACATTTTCTTCAAAATTTGACATTCCTTTCAACACAGGGTTTTTCAGAATTTGGTAAACACATCTGTTTCAACTATAGTTTAACACTATCAAAAATGCCTTCAGAGGGTCCTAGAGTGTGGGGAAAAAATTGCTGTCAAGTTGTTGTTTTTGGTTTTTTGGGTTTTTTGCAAGTTCACTTTATCTACCTTTCTTGTCTTTCTGCCGTAACTCATTTTGTTCACATGTATTCCAGAAAGCATGAAATGAAAGTTGGAAATTTCTGTTGGTCACTTAAATTGCCACTTTTCTGTTGCTTATGTAGATCAGTTTTTATATATTATTCAACCTCCTCTGCCCTGAACTTTCTACTTACACAGTATCACTCGTGACATATATTCACTATGGTCTCTACTGAACTTTCTACCTACATCTTTATTTAATGCTGTAATAATTACATCTTTTCTAACATCCATTTTCCTGTGTACAGGGTTCCTCCTTTTTCTTCTTATAATGGTTATATTCCTATCTCTTTGCTAGAAATTATATGCACTAAAATCCAGCTACTTGGATGGTTAATCCATACGTAAGAGGAATAATATTTTTTTGAAAATACTAAGACTTAAGTTTCAAGACACTTGTGGAGAACAGAGGATAGGGTTGGGGTGGATGGAAAAAATCTATTTTTAACATCATTTGCTCTTTAAAACCCTTTATCTCCTATGTAATTAATACTATGCCGGCTACCATAAAAGGATGCAAAAGAAGTAAATATATGTTCCTTGTCTTTTGAAAAACTTGCTGGTGATTGACTCTGTTAAAGCAAGTATTAAATAATATAATATATAACCATGTACTTCATCATGTGCTGTAGGTATTCAGAGGTATTTCACATGCCATAGGTATTATAAGTTTGTCTCCAGTGAGGGATGTTAGAGGGAAAGAGGAAGTCTCCTTAAAGATGATGGAAACACTATTATGAGTGTGCTGTTGAAGGAGGATTTGGATTTGCTTGGGTGTAGAAAAGGAAAGGAATTACTGTGTCTTCAGAAAACGTCCCATAAAATGAGGAGCTGTGGATGAAAAGAAAACAATCCTGTATTCTTGGGAAGGTCAGCCTGCCTACAGTCTTTTTTAAGAACAACAAAAGATTAAATTGGATAAGTAGATTTTTAGTAAGTCACTGTTCTATGTGAGCCTGTAATACTGTCTTAGTGAATGATACCAAAGGGAAAAATTAGGTTGCATAGTTAGATACTGATATCAGCTCACATATATAATGTGTCTTATGGGTAGTAGAGCTCAGTAAAACTCAGTAAAGCTTTTATTTAGTGCAGCTGAAATTTATTAAATGCTAGCTATGTTTTGGCTAAGGAATTGATTGTTTCTTATAAATTATGGACAATATCTCAGCACTTAGGTAGACTTAAATTCTTTTCTTAATTAACTTGATTAACATAATCATTCAACTAATCCATGGGTGGCATTATCTTTCTTTTAGTGGTGTACTCAGATTTACAGATTGCAAGTAATTTTAGATGATTCATAGGTTATTTGAGAGTCAATATTGGGGTGGCCTTCATGAATGTTCATGGTTTATCGGTTTTTAACATTGGGTGCTTGTATATTTTGTGTATGACCCTAGAATGGTGTCTATGTTGTACATTAATACAATGCAAACTAGAGCAAAGTAGCTGTTTAGAACAGGCACATTTGTTCTGTGTTTCTTAGATTAATTATCATTGCCCATAGTCATTTTTACATTGCTCTGGTTAGCCGTTTATTATAGTGGAATTGTTGAGTACTGATGCTATGATAATCAATCATAGGGCTTGAATATGATATTTGACTATTTATAAACGCTAATTTCAAATGGCTTAAGGTTCAGTCATAACAGTTAGCTCCAGGTTGTAATTTGATATTTGATGGCCAAAGGTCTTTTCTAGGATATATAAAGGGGAACATTAAATCTCTGTAGTTTATGAGTTATCCAAATGCAAATTTATTTTTAATAATTCTTCATTAAGGACTCATTTGCATTTGTTCAATACCACAGAGACTTTATTTCTAAAAAAATTTTTTTTTCTATTAGTTTCTTCTATGGATTAGTATTTGTGATGAGAGTTTCTTTCAATTTAAGAAAATGAGTTGCTGCACAGGTGAGGTAGTATTTGAATATTTAAAAGTTCATGTCAGTGTTTTGGTTCTTTACAATTTTTCCTTTTCTCTTTGCTTTTTTTTTCCTTTTGTTTATTTACTTTTTTAATTTTTTGCTTTGTTCTGTTGCTTTATTTATTTACTTTTGTTTAAAGTTTTTACAGGGGGTGTTTTGGGCTCTTCATGGCCTTGCTGCATACTTGGCTGGCCATATTTAGTCTGCGCACTAATTGTTAGTTGGCCCAGTTGACTCTTACTTTGTGCTCTCAGTTCTTTCAGTCTGGTTTTCTATTTTTGTCCACATGGTTGTGTTTTAGTTCACGAGAGATTTTTATTCTGATGGGCCGGATTTTAATCCGTGTACTAAATTTTAGTCTGCAGACTAAAAGTAATCCGCGGATTATTTATTTTTATAAAATATTTAATTCTCCCACTGGAAACTATCCTAAAAGAATGTTAAATTCTCTTAGAATAGCCAAGGGAATTCACAGCTACTGGTGAGTTCTGCCAATTTTTGTCCTCAATACCTAGACATAATAGACCCTACAACCTCTCAGGCATATTTGGCTCCTTTGTGCCTAGGTGTTGGTGTACATTATTATGCATGTCACCTGTAACTGTGACTGTCCCTTAGTTGTATTGCTTATTGTATATATTTTTGTTTAGCTTTTGGTGGGTGAATTGGGCATATTTGCAGATGGAACTGTGTTGAATTTGTAGTGGTCAAAGACATAGGATTTTTTTTTTTTCAGTGAGTTTTTCCAAAAAGGAAAGAATGTTCTATTTTTATTTTTCCTAAGTAATGGGTGCAAGGGTATGAGGGGGCAAAGCCCACAATAGAAAAAATAAGTTTATATACCCTCACTCCTGAGGTGATATGTCAATTTCCTGAAGAATCCTAAGATAATGAGAATGTCAGCAAATATCTTTTAGCAGGGAAAGTCAATCCAAAATGGAGAATAATCCGCGGTGGCCTGATCCTTTTTAGCTCACATAAATTGAAAATATTTGGCTTGCAATCGATAGTAATACAATTAAATTTATTACATTCCTCTCATTGCTAATAATTTAGCAAAAAAATGTTTATACTGTGTAACTGGAATATATTAATAGAGAAAAATTAGCGTCTTGGGAACTCCTATCTTTAAAAGCAGGCAAATATCTCCCCTCCAAGCCATGTCAATGGACTATGATTCCAGGTCGTAGAAGACCAAACACTTTACTTTGGGAACTTTACTTATAGATTTCATTTTGATTTTAACTTTTTTTGGTTTTGTATTTTTTTAATAAACGCACTGGCATTGGAACATAATAAACTAAAATTAAAATGTTTCTTTACTGTGCCTCACCATTGCGCAATCAAACAATTTTTTTGCATACACTGTGGTGAAATAATTTTTAAAACTTGGACTTGCTACTGTGGAGACTGATGTTTAAAGTTTATAACTGTATAAACATTTTCTATGTCCCCCCCCCCAACACCATGGATTTCTTATAACATTGGATATATTTTTCCTTGCTGGACTATTCTCTTTTGGATTGACTTCCCCTGTTTGGATTATTTCACTGCATTATCATCTTTAGGATTCGTCAGGAACAGGACATTTCACCTCAGGAGTGCGGGTATGTACTTAATTTTTTTTTTCCCCCAAAATTTCAGGGCAGGTCTGTAGAATGAAAGGGAAAACATTCTTGAAACGCTAAGCAGTTATTCATTCTTAAAATTAATAGTAAAGACAATGTAGGTAGCTGTGATTTCTGTTTTCATACACTGTGTGGTGTAGGCTTTGCTTATGGTATATTTAAATTGTCAATCTCCTGAGTGATTTAATGATACCTAGACTATAGCTGAAGAATTGTGGGGTTTTTAAATTATTACTTTTGCAAAAATGAATATTAATGAAGATCCACAGAATCAAAGATTCTAAGTGTTAATTTAAATGAGTAAGAATGAAATGGCAGCAGAAAATTATTCATTAAAAGCCAAATTTCAGTTACTGGTTTCCTTTTCTTTAGCCACAAAGATAATTCAGAAGTTATTTTCTAGTTTGGTCTGTAATTTTTTAAATTTGCCTGCTAGCATACCCTGTATTATGGTTAGAAATCTGAACTTTGGGAGATGCTGGGTTTTGACCCCATGTGATTTTCACTTAACCTTTTATAGAATATTAACCCCCAAGACTTTTCTCATCAGGAATCTCTCAGAGGGTTGAAAATAATAACGGATAATTTTTTGAAATGCTGATTGCCTTGATTTTACCACAGATTTTTCTCTTTATTGTTTTTACCTCTTTCATTCCATGAGTTAGCGACTCCTGGTAAAATAGGTTAATCTGTACATTAGTACCAACATGATGGTCACCTATAACCAGTAAGATACCAAAAAGATTTGAATGCTGTTTTGTGTGTTTTTTAAAAAAAAAAAATCAGATATAAACTTATAATACTGGTTTATTAACAACTGTTACACAAAGTATTCATTAATATAACATGAAATTTTTCAATTTTAAATATACTCACTGTTACCCTACAGTTGAATGTTATCAGGAGATATTTATTTCTACTTTTGTTGGTACTTCTGCTTCTACTTATGTGCTCCCATATTGATGCAGAAGCATTTTTGATTAGACTTAACAAAATAAATTTATGTGCTGTTAAATAAATGAACTGCCCTCCAAGACAGAATATGTCAGTAATGCTTAAACTTAAAAAAAAAAAAAAAAAAAAAAAATTTTTTTTTTTTTTTCAATTTTCCTTCAGTTTTTTTTTTTTTTTTTACATTTTGAGTTTGATTATGGAGCTGACTATGGAGTCATAGAGGAGAAAGTGACTAAGAAGCAGTGGAAGATCTAAACATTTCAAATAATATAATACCTTAAAGGTTTCCTTGACTTGAGGCAAGTCAGATTATTCAAAAGCAGTGTTGTTTTTTGGTTTTGGTTTTTGTTTTTTTGCCTTACAGAAGGTTTAAGATCCTACTTAAACTATTTTTCAATTTCCATGGAAAAATCCTTACTAATAATAAACTAATAATAAACTTTACATGAATATGAAAGCAAAAAAGTATAGAAACTACTCACTGGAGAAAGTACTCATAGTATCTTAAAATGTAATGAACTCTGTAATGGTAACTAGTTTTCCTAACTTTGGCCAAAATGATTAACGAGATGTTGTATGAGCCATTCTCATTAGGAAACCTTAGCCTCCCAGGCTCTCCTCCATGCTTTGTCACAATCTAGTTGTCCTTTCCTCGTTTGTGAGTCTGTTTTCCCGTCCATTTATACGTCTGCTTCTCTTTATATGTATGTCTACTTCTACACATTCTGTTTGAATATAAGTTGTTCCTATCAAAAAATGTTTCATTTTAAAGTGTCAGAGGCTTTCTATCCATCTGCTTATGTTTATTTCTTCCCCCCCCTTCTGCTTTTATTTTGTAACTATTCATAACTTAGAACAAAATATATTTTCATCAGTCTGTATTGATTAGGAGTTTTAAGACATATGTGTCTTAAATTTCTATCCTAAGTAAATTAATTTGTATTTTACTTAAATATAGCCTTCAGTTGAGTTTTTCTGTGAGCTAATGGCTCCTAATGAAAGTACATTTCTCTCTCCTGATTAAAAGCTTAGAGTATCTATTCAAATAAGGTAATTGGCCATGTTCACAATAACAGCTACTTGAGAAAGCAATTTTAGGCATTTTGTCAAATTCCGAGCATTGTAAAATCTCTTTAAATTATGACAGGTTCAGTTTCTTGAAGAGGTAACTGCAAATCACTAACATTTATAGACCTAGATGAAACAGCTTTCTTTCATTTTAAAAAGTATTGGTGCTAATTTGAACAGTGCCATTATCAATAATTGTTCTGCACAAATCACACAAAAGAGGCAACATTTAATTGCCACAGCAGTCAAAACCTTAATTTTTTTTTATATTTTAATTATGACCTCCAGAATCCAGCCTTTTTCATGTACATATTTGATTATACTTCTTTATGATTTGCATGTGCTGATTTCCCCCCCATATCCCCTAGTTTTTTCTCTGAGATTTTTCCTATATAGTCTTTAATTAGTAGTTCACCCCAGTGTGGTGAATCATATACAGTTAACGCTTTTCATTCTAGAAGGCTCCTTTCCCATATGCAACCATGTTTTTGTACATGGTGGGAATTAACTGAGTATTCAGAAGTTACTTAGCTAAGATTCTTACAATAAGGCATTGATTGTTCTTTTCCTTTTTTATACTACAGGTCTTCAGACCCCGAACTCCACCAGAAGCAATTGCACTGTGTAGCCGTCTCCTGGAATATACACCAACTGCCCGATTGACACCACTGGAAGCTTGTGCACATTCATTTTTTGATGAATTACGGGACCCAAATGTCAAACTACCTAATGGACGAGACACACCTGCACTCTTCAACTTCACCACTCAAGGTAATACCAAACACAGTTCTCTTACTTTCTGGGAAAACTACATATAGATGTAAAGTGACACCTATTAACTAAAATCCGTGGCGGACAAATGTGGGCCTTTAAATCTTTATGCAGTAGGAAGCATCCTTTATAACCTCTTATTTAGGCAACTACTTACATGGTTTTGAACAAAACAGTAGCAAATAAAATTGTTCAAATAGGCATAGTGTCTATAATTTTAATAAATGTTGGCAAATGAATCATCAGTAGAGATTTCATTGACTGTGGTTTTACTAATGAGACTAATGTACAAATTAACTTTGAGTTTTATATCTGAAACTTAGAATATTAGCATTTCTTGCTTTCCAAGGATTTATATAGTTTTAAGACTTGGAAATAAATCTGACTATATTTGTGTAAATTCAGATATTTTACAAATGGGAGAACTGGAGTCCATCCTATAAACCCTATAAAACTACTTCTAAGACCATCTTATAAAAAAAGGAGTAGACATAGATTCTTTCTCCAGTCTAGAAAGTTGAAGATAGTAGGAGAAAGTCAGGTACCAGGACACATTTAGGCTTACTGTGAAGACTTCAGCTTCTGACTCACATAGAGATGGAATAACATTACTGATGAATCAGTGAAGAAGTTTTTGATTGTTTGACAGTGGAACAAGTTGTTTTCAACATATTGATCTCTGTACCTAGAAATGTTCAGGAAAAATCTGGGTGATGTCTCATTGTAGATAAAATTACTCCCATTGGTGGAAGGTTAAATCTAGATAATCTTCATGCCTTTTCCACAAACGTCTGTAATTCCGTGTCATACAAGTTTTAGACCTCTTGAGAAAATAAATTTTGTTTTTAATTCTTACTGCTTTAGTTTTAATCAAGGAGGATACATATAGGTTGAAGTAAATGTTGAAAATACAGAGAAAATTAAAATCACTATACCAGTTCAATTACTTTTAGTATTCAAAATATCACTCTGTAGCATTTTATGGTATAGCTCTTTTCAGTCTTTTTCTAACACCTTTATTAATAATCCTTGAATATAAAATGATCCTGTGGTTTCCCAATTAAGTTTCCAAGAGGGGTTTTTGGTTAACTCAAATGTATTTAAAATTATTTAATAAAGTTAATATTAATTTAGAAGTTTTACTTTTTTTATATCTCAGATTTCATAAAATAACTATTCAAACTCTATACACATATTTTATGTCTATCTTTGTAAATCACTACAGATATTTTAGGACCATCTATCATAATTTTGTAGGTTACAGCCCCTAAAATTTGGATTTAAAGCACTTTTTGAATCAATATGAGTCCACTGTTGGGAATAGTGTACCCCTTTACATGTGTTTTTTACTGTTGTACTGTAGGCATATGTTTATTATGTGTGTGATATAATTATTTACTGGATTGCTTTTTAAAATTAGTGATCTCTAAAAGACTTGTATATAGTGATGCCTAGCTCTCAACTGAGAAAAGTAGGCAGCATAAACTAAGTCAATGTTAAGTGTTTTTTGCCTCTTTTTTTAATCCCTTCTGTCAGGTGACCTTAAAGTTTCCCGAGTTTTTTCGGTGTCTTCTTTGAGGACTTAGTGTCACAACAAATTTAGAAATTCAGGATTCAGTTTCACGGTTCACATGTACCATTTTTGAAGTAATTGTATTTTATTCTTTAGTCAATGGATAATTTTCATTATTACCCAAGAAAATGAAATTCAAAAACTGTTGTATTTCTTATTTTATGAAATTCTAAATAATAAAACAAAATTCACATAAGAGGAACCTTTTTTAAGTGATAATGTTTCTATTGAAATAGCAATGGTTTACAACATTGTATGTATATTGGGAGTAAATATGTAAAATTCAGAAGTATGATACAACGCTACATCTACTACCAAAGCATCTATAATCCTCCTCCATAGTCTATTTGGCCCCCTCCCCTTTGCTTTCCTTTCCCCACCCCTTCCCTCTGGTAGCTTCAGTTCTGCAGTCAGATTTCAAGGGTTTAATTTAATTTAGTTTTTCTCTTCTTTGTTTTGTTAAGATGAACCATTTTAAAGCAAACAGTTCAGAGCCTCCCTGGAGGCGCAGGCGGTTGAGTGCAGCTCTGTGAAGCTGTCCATAGACCTCTTCTGTCTCCCCCACTGCTCGCCTCAGCAGTGTATTTCATCAGTCTCCCTGTTCTGTTCCCAACTCTGTCTCTGGTGAATCCTCTCACCCTCCCGCGCATCTGGCCTGTACCCTGGTTCATAAATAAATAAATCTAAAAAAAAAAAAAAAAGCAAACAATTTAGTATTCAAGTGTTGTGCAACTACCACCACTATCAAGTTCCAAAACATTTTTATTGATCCTAAAGAAAACTTTTCATAAAACTAAACATTAAGGGCCTCCCCAGTGGCACAGCGGTTGAGCACTGGGCTGCGTAGCTGCCCGCAGCCTCTGCAGTGCCGGTTCGATCCCCGACCGCCGGTGAGCGTCCCACATGGTGCACAGACCTCTCCTGCCACACCCGCTGCTCCCCTCAACAGTGTATATCGTCAGTCTGCCTGTTCTGTTCCTCGCTCCGTCTCTGGTGAATTCTCTCACCCTCTCGCGCTTCTGACTGTACCCAGTACTTGTATAAATAAGTAAATAAATCTTTTAAAAAAAAAAACTAAACATTAAATTCAAAATGCCATAATTTTGAGATAAAGCCTTTTTTTTTTTTTTAGTGTTAAAATGCACTATGTTAGCAGCCATTCTAAAGCTGAGCTATGATCACATAGTAGTACTTTCTAAATAAGTATTATATTTGAACAGTATTTCTAAATAGGGACATGATGTTTATTAATTCATGCAACCAGCATTTGTTTGGCATTTCTGATGTTCCCTGCAGTTGCTATGAAGATTAAGTATTTGTGTAAAGTTGTGGTATTGTATAAAAGTAAAGCTTACAATAGAGCTAACTACAACTTGATGTTTATTACTATGAATAATTACTATAAACATTACTGTGAACAATTAATCATAAATAATTAGTATTAACTTCACATAATTAAAACAAATACTTCTTTCATCAGCTAGAGGGAGAAGAGAGATGAACAGATAGGGAACAGAAACCTTTGAGATCCTTCTGAGCTCCTGCATCTGTAACTCAGGAGAATACTATTTTTCTGGCATTGGAGCTTCAGTATTCTAGGACCCTTCCTGACTGGCAGTGTTGTCTGTACCCAGGCATTGGTAACCAGGACAGACCTTTGATATATCCTCTTCTCTCCCTTTCCTTCAGTTATTGACTCTCAAGAGTTAGGACATGACTGAATCAGATACTAGGCAACATGTGGAATCAGAAAATCCCAACAGGAATCGATTTTTTAATTCACTAATTTTTTGTCTAGTCCAAGACTGGAATGATTGGGGAAACAAGTTATTTTCTATCTTCAAAGACGGGTTTCCAAATAACCCTGCCATGTACATCTCCAGTGCCAACTTTCTACTCAAAATTTGTATGGTATTTTACCAGGTAAAATGATTTTGCCAAACCTTATTCCCCTGAGGGCGTAAGGCAGAATGGGGATTGGACAGGAGCGACTAAAGGTTATCAATCTGTTTGCATAAGTATGATTTAGTTTACAGACTCTACTGCTTAGCTGAATTACCTGAAAGAATGGTAGCTATGTGGAGAGATGAGGAGCGGTGGCCTACTGGGTAGGTCAGAAGGGGAAACTGATTAAATAAAAGTTAAAATAAATAAAGCTACATGCAGGAATACTTGGATATGAGGAAACACATGATGAGATGAAAAAAATCCCTGTAAAATGGCTGTGTGAGACAGTAGACTTGAGGAGTCCATTTTCTTAGGAATGAGAGGTAGACCTGTTTATATTTATCAAAAGATAAGTTAGTATAGTTTATTTACTTTGATAGCTCAAATATGGAATACATCTTTTTATTTGTAGTATTCATCATGGGCTCCAAGAGACTTAGGATTATTGTTTGTTTTGCATCTGCTTTCCTGCCAACATATTTAAAAATATATCAGACACTGGGACACCTCAATCCTGAATATGTTAGTAAGAGTGTCTCTAATAAACAAGGATCTTTTTCTATATAACTATTTAATAAGATTGCCGCGGACCAGCACAGCAGTAGACAATGAGGCCGTCTCAGGGTTGAGAGACTGCGCAGGGTGGTCAGGGATTCGGTTAAAGAAATGACAAACAGACACACTTCAAGAGAGAGTGTAAATCTGAGTGTCTTTATTTTTGTTAGTGGTCAGTATATATATGTTTTTTCTAAAGGCATAGGAACAGTGAACATCAAAGAAATTAGTTTGTTCATAGGTTTAGCTTATCATTGACAGGGCAATGATTTATGTCCAAAATACATCTGGACCTAGCTGCATTCCTAAGTAGACAGGTTATTAACTCTTTCTATATTCTTGTACTAATTACTACTACTATTATCTACTTATGTTTACTCATAATTAATTGTCATAGGTAAATTTATATTATAATGTAGTTAATATCAAAGGTACTAAAGTTAAGCACATAATAGAAAGATTATTAAACTACAATTCTATTATAACACAGTGTTTAGTAATGTTTCATTTGCATTAGCCTAATTATTAAATTACGTATGCTTTTTAATTAGCAATCAATGACCAGAAAAAGGAAAGATTTTAGAGAGACAGTTGTAGCAGAATAAAGTTTATGGGCCTTGAGAAAGCGAGATAAGGTTCCAGGTGGTCAGCATTTCTTTTAATCATCTTTGTGGCAGCTTCTGGTGGTCGTTATCTCTTGGCAGGCATTCGGCTTCTCTGCATCTTAGGGAGTTTGCTGTTCTCCCCCTGCGCGCATGGTTCCTTGCCCACGCCGGACCTCAGGGACCATGGCAACAGCCATTAGCCCTGAGGGTCACTGCAGGGGGAGGTGCAGCATAAGATGAATGATGAGTCCCTAATATTACTTAATACACAGTCCATACTCAAACTTGCCCAGATAGAAACCAGTTTTTTTTTTTCCCCT